CATCGTGAAAACAATCCGAGACCATCCAAGCTCTTTAATGCCGCTTCTAGTTAAAGTTCATTGTGAAGCTGAACATTAAACTAAGACAATTACAAGTTGTGGATTGAACACGAGCAAGCTCACGTTGCTTTAAAGTCCGCCGGCCTAATGCTAACCCATAACGGGAAACGCCATTGATGCGTTTGCACATAACATGTATGGGGCGGCGTGATAACACTTGAAGCAACGTATTTAGAAAAGTCGATCCAGACAGTCCAGTAGACACAGTGTCCTCTGGAGGATTATATTTCATATTGTGCTAGATATATTCGCCTTTGCCCATTCGGAACCCTTCGAGCAAAGGCGGGTATTTGCAAGGTCATGTTATGGTCATTCCGAAGAACATTATCCGTGGTCAAAAGCGTGCATAGACCTACAAGGAGTGTGACTTGCAGAATCTCCAACGTGCTGCCATCGTGTTGGGCTAATTACAGAAGTGCTCTCATGCTAAGATGCTAATCATGGAAGGGGTCAAGACTTTCTCATGTTCAAGATATATTCTTTTTTTTTTCTTCCACCCCTCCTTGAAATTAAAAATGTAAATACGGCATATCATCTGAGGCAATTATGAAGAAGCATAAAAGACGATCCACTTGTCGGCCACGGCGTCCAATCGGAGCATTAAATGAGATCTCGTGGAGTAGAATCGAAAATGCTGCCTTGACATGAGTTGAAACTGATCATCGTCATCTTTGGTAAAACATCATTTCGAAAGCGCTGTTACGAATGATTTACAGTATACGCAGGCTTGTCGCTGTGTCGCTTATTGCGCTGAAGTATGGACATGAGGAAAGGCCCTGTCGGAAAAAGCGCAGTCGTTTCGTCAAGCTGAGTGATGACAGACCATCAGAAAGCAAGAGGGTAGAAAACAACAAATAAATGGGCTCTTATTGGAACAGAAGAGATATTTATGCAGGAAGGACTGTCGTCTCGGAGTAAATTATGAACCCTTTGCATCTGAAGGCGCTTTTGCATATTTCCATTTGGTTGCCATTTTTGGACTGCGTGTCATCCTTGTTTTAGCATGCTGAATATTTAATCAGTCACTCTGTGGCCCATTTGAGATTTATATATTTGTCTTTTTTGACTCGAGGCCATCGGTAGAAGTCCTTTCGCTCATCGCAAGTAGCTGGCGTGCGGTCCGGGACGAAAGCTGCCTTTTGCCAGTCTGCCTCCGTCGTCAAAACTGCAGGACTTCCGCAGTCGACTGATGGATGAGCAAAATGTGACAACTTTGATGTCACTCAGACATGCTCGCAAAGTATCTCGGTTTTCAACTTCCCAGTCTTGCAGCCGAGTGCTTGCTTTGCATTCCAGTGAAGACCCCTAAACACACCTTGCTTCCGCGCGGACAATTACTTTGACTCATCTGCTTCCAATCCATCTCATTGTTTCGACAGCTGCCCATTTTAACACAATATGAGAGAGAGAGGGGGGGGGCGGGGGGGGAGCACCCACTGTGAATAGCAACACAGGTGTAACCTCGTAAAACCTGACAATAATAACAAAGAGGCTCAAAGCCTCCTGGAAATGCATGTTGGCAGTGTCACAGATGGTTTCAGCTTTTATGCTCTCCGTAAAGAGAAGCCCAAAGCTTCTTTTACACACGAATACAACGAGATGACAAAAAAAAAAAGAAATCATGCAACTGCAGAAACGAAAACTGTCACGGCGTTTGTAATATATATATTTTTTAACCCTTTCATGCACCCTGTAACCTGATCACATGATAAGCTGTCCACTGTAGCAACCGCTGTCCCTGAAAGGGTTCAAATAAAGTTGTCATTGGCACACAGCTGTTGTCGCTACATTATGGGGCATAATAATCCAGCGATGAAACTTTGTATCGCTACCCTTGCACTGATATGAGTTACATTATGGGGCATAATAATCCAGCGATGAAACTTCACTTTGTATCGCTACTCTTGCACTGATATGAGACTATTAAGGTCGCAATCAGGGTTAGCCTCCACTCATTAGCTTTCGGCTACGGTCCACAGTCTGCTAGCTTAAACTACGCATTGAATCTTACCGGCTACGGTCCACAGTCTGCTAGCTTAAACTACGCAAATTCATTGAATCTTACTGGAATAACACGCTTCGTGGTCAAATTGGATTTTTCATTTTCTGGACCAAGATGTGTTTTTCGGCTAATACTACTAACCCATTCCAGTTGATTCAGGGCTCGCTGCTTGAACGGTAAAGGAATCGCAAAAGTGAATATTATAAATAAATATAACTATGAGCATTTGTAATTAATCATTTCTTTGTTGCCGCTCGCTGCACTTCATCCTCAGAAGTAGCCTTAAAACACTTTTACGCCCTTTCGAGGCACACACGCTGGAATCGGATCAGTTTCTCGCTGCGTGTCGAGCCTTAAAACACTTTTACGCCCTTTCGAGGCACACGCTGGAATCGGATCAGTTTCTCGCTGTGTGTCAGTTAATGCGTGATACGTTATTTCCACATCACAAAAAAAAAAACATCACATTCCATCGCCGTTATGACTACTGTGAAGCCTTGACTTTAATGTGTCACTTTAAATAAGATATTACCTCGGCGGGAAAACACAACACTCAGTGCGTGCGTGTTAGCGCCCGTGTCAACGATATTGCAGTTAATTCTCCTTTGTAATGAACAAAATGAGGTGACTTTGACTTCAGTCCCGCCGGAGCTCCCGACATTGCTAGTCAACTAATGCAAACTGAATACTCGATTTGAGAGTCATTGTAATTGTCACAATTCGCCAGGGGAAGTGTCACTCATGTTGCAAAGTGAACGCAACGAACGTGCCGTTGAAAAAATCCCGCACATACATTCTTCTGCAAAGCTGTGCCCAAAAAGTGAAACATGAAAAAAGAAAAAAAAAAAATTGAACCGGGACCGTTTTCTTGAACTTGACATCTCTCCGTCTAATCTGTCTCCATAGTTAAATTTACTCCTCACATACATAACTGAAATGCTCTCATACACAGTATTTTTATTTTATTTATTTATTGATTTACTCCTCACATACATAACTGAAATGCTCTCATGCTCACGACCGTAATGCTCTCATACACAGTATTTTTATTTATTTATTTTTTTGCTCATAGAAACGAATGCTCTTATACACACTTCAGAAGCGCTCTAATACGGACATTTTTTTCCACTCATGTACACTACTGAAACACTCATACGCAATGCTGATTTGCTCTCACACGCACTAGTCTTATTCTATCATTCTGCTGGATTGCACTCATATACTTTTTTTTGTTTTACATTTCCCGTGCTACTTTGATGTCCTCATACACACCACTCTCATTCTCTCATTCGACTAAAATGCTCACATTCAAACTACTGAAACACTCTCATACACATCTTGATAAATTTCTCATGACACTTAAATGCTCTCATACAATTTTTTATTTTTTTTGGTCCCCACCCATGTGCACTACTGAAACACGCTCATTCCCACAATGTTGAATTGCTCATACTCTCTCGCCAAATACTCTCATACACACTACAGCAATGCTCTCATGCGACTTAAATGTTCTCATACTGACATGCTCTTTATTCTCATACACACTACTGCCGCTCACTTCTGAACCACGTTTATTCAGCGTATGAAAAGAACAGATCTCAATGTGTGTTAGAAACTATTCTCGTAGCGTGTGAGAGAGTTTTTCGGTTGTGGTGATGAGAGTGTCTCGGTCGTGTATGTATGAGTAGTAAATCGCCGTATCATGTCATTAACAGCCCTTCCTAGCAGCCTGTGGAGCACATACGGGACAGCATTCTGCAGCGTGGCTGCTCGCGCGTCCACCCGTGTGTACGCTGAAGCTTTCCCTCCCATTTAACTTGCAAAAGGAGCAGCAGGATCAATCCACCATTAATGCTGATAATGGGATGTCACAGTCTGCTCTCTTTGGGTCTCGCTAACTGATTTTCTTTTGTGAGTCTGTGTGCAAGTTGGGGGCCGCAGAGTGAAAACGCCGGAGGGCCGGCGAGGTAGGCGACATATGAGGAGAGGCAGAGGGGGAATGCGGCTGCACGTCGGCTTCTCTGACAGCAATTTGGACACATTATTCATACATGGGCCGCATGCTTGAGGTGTGTGGTGACAGGTGTCCTCCGGATTGTCCTGAACGTAGCCCATCATATAGAAACACCAGTTATATGAGGACATAGCTTACCTTTTTAGACTTCTGTGCCCCTCGTCAGTCATGATTGACCCCCCTGCTCTCTTTCCCGTTTGGTTAAAGTGGAGCACCACAGCTAAGTTCGAATCAAATTGACACATTGCAGCAATCTCTGCATTGAATTCTGACTCTGGAAAGTGGACATCGTCCTTTAAGTCAATTCTTTGGTGTCATGGTCAGCGTGCAAGTTTTCCAGTCCGATAGACTCACTTCAAATCTGGGTTGGGGGTTATAGGTATTAGGTGTGACAGCAGATCAATATCATGGCATCTTTTTTTCGGTCCATGGTCTTAATGCTAATCTTCCACGGAAGCGATTTTGGAATATTTTTGCTACTGATCATGATGATATCACAAATCGATTCAAAAAGCATATTTTCGGAAATGTTCGAGCTATGTTGCATGGTTCAAATGTGGGTTGGAATTATAATAGGGGAAAAAAAATGTCTGTGTTAAATTTGGCTCACAGCAGCACTCGCATTAATTAATTGATTGATTGTCACCCAATCTGTTGCCGAATCTCATCTGGGCCAAAAAATTACCATAAAAGCATGAATTCTTCTTTTACAGTGCCTGCATGATTAAAGAAATTGAACCGTTACTTTAAATATATGTGTGAGAGTTGCCACTTTCCCTTACGAAATACAGAAGGCATTTCTTTTGATATTCCAGATTTCACCCTTTCAGGGACAGCGGTCACCACAGTGGACCATGTTATCAGGTTACAGGGTGCAGGAAAGCCTTAACCTCCTCCTTTTATTTTCATTTCTAGTCCCTGCCTGTGATCGACGCACCATTCGTCAGAAGTGAGTCTTGGAACGATTTTTTTTTTTGTTTTTGTGGAAAATCCTTTGCTCACTCCGCCGCGGATACGCAGCACCGCAGCTAAGTGAGGCGGGCGGAGCTGACAACGCCGACTGACGACAGAGAGGGCAACAGTGGGGAAGCAGGTACTTTTTCTCTTTGTATCCTTTGTGTCCGGTTTATGTTCATAATAAACGTGCATGACTTGATGTGGGTCGGATTTAGAAGGTAAACAATATTTAAAACAAGAGCAAAACCATCAAATGATAACATGGTAAGCTGTCCACTGTCGTGTAATTTAAAGGGTTCGTAGGTTTTTAGTTGATAGCAAAAGGGGAGACGGAATCCTTTAAACGCAGCTTTTCTTTTTTACCGACATTTGCTCCGCAACTCCCGAACAAACACACCTTTTTCCGGTAACGAAAACACTTCCTGCTTCTCTTCAGCCAATCAGACGCAAGCAACATAAGAATGTGTCAACAATTATTAAACAGAATATAATTGAGGTAACTATAACATAAAGGATTATAATGCTCAAATATAAAATGAAAATAATTAATAATTGAACATAAGCTTACAGCAGTAACCGCTCAAAGGGTTAATCATACGTTTCTTCATCCATACATCCATTTTCAATTTCATGTTCATTGTCTGTAAGCATACATTGTTTTAAGGTCACGTGACCGATTTTTACAAAGTGGAGATTGTCACTTTGTTTCAGCAGGCAGGAGGAGATCGTCACCGGCAGGGATGAAAGCGTTAGTTAGCGCCTTTGCTCACATCGGAGCACCCTCGCTACTTTATTGCGCATATTATACTGGCACGGCTATCATTTGCGCCGACAGCGTTGCGCTTTACCCCTGCTATTAGATCTCGCCAGGATGCGGCGTGTTAAGTGTGCTATATGTGTCGGGCCGTGATAAAGTAAAAGAAATAATAATTGTTGTAATTACCACGTCTCTGGGTTTTATTCCGCCTACTTGGGTTGAAAAGAATGTAACGCGGGGCGCACTCCCCCCTCATTTGCCTTTTGAATTCCTGAGATAACCTGACTGGACAGAGTTATGGCCATCATGGGTGTGATTTTATGATGATGGCCACAGTTTGACCCGGGAAGAGATCATTTCCATCTCTATTATTTGCTATGGGGAGCAGTTATTTGTAAACCGAAAAATGGATACGGTGTCCCACGAACTGCATTTGTGGTCGCCTTAAGAGTTTTTACGGAAATCTCTTAACCGAATGAAAAAAAAAAAAGGTGAAAATCTCAATAAACAATAGTGAGCTTCTTTTATGAGGGAAAACAGCTTTCGGGATTGCCGGTCAGAAATATTTGCACATGGCAGAGCAGAGAAAGGACAGGGACAGTTTGAGAACAGAGTCAAAGTCAGACAAACACTAAACAAGAATTAATTAGACGGATTATGAGACTATCGAGGGGGGAAACCGATCCCAATAAAGTCATTTGAAAGTCGATGAGGAAATCGCATACGTCACGCTAATGCCGATCAACTGCGGCCTAACCTGCTTCATATCGTGTCGGTGACTGAAAATGTGAGAAGGGAAGGATTTGAATACTTTACATCTCTAGAGGAGGCAGGACTGGTGAAGATGATTACTTTGGTCCGATTGCGCAGTCAAGCAAAAATAGCCTTGAGGGGAACCTTTTTTTGTTTTTTCTTTTTTTAACGCTACATCAGTTTGAGTCTGGCAGGAGAATAAATCAAACCTGAGGAAAAAACAAACAAACAAGAACAAACAAACAAGCAATTGGAATTGATATTCTGTGTATCATGTAAATGAATTAATGTTGTATTTCAGCAATAAGGGACCAAAATCACACTGTGCATACTAATTAGCACATCGACATTTTTTTTTTCACTTCACCAGAAGCGAAACAATTAACAGTTCAAGGCAGTTAGAGGGGTAATTATTGAGGGACCTAATGACAAAAAGAAAATATTAAGCCTGACATTCTATGATAAGTTATTGCAAGTATTGTCGGAATACCAAAGGCATTTGAAAAACGCTCACGTTTTTGGTTGAGCTCGTGGGAAAACATTTCACATTTCAAAGATTAAAAAACTAGAAAGAAAACGATGCGGTGACCCGCAACCGAGAGACGGTCACCGAGGTTCTGTACCTTTTGAGAGAGGGGGCGAGAGTTCGACATAGTTTTACTGCGGTGTAAAGAGACGCGACTCGCTTCGAGTCCCCTCGTCTCGTTATTCACCACGCCCTCACAACCAAACTGTAACTGTCAAAATTTGCTCCAATGCGCTGCCTGTCTGGTGCTCGCGCCTTAGCCTGACGGTATAGCAGCAGTGTGACACAGGCGGAGTTCATTCATTTAGTCAAGCGTCGGGAACTAAACTAACTCCAGCAGTTCTAATTGTGTACACGGAGCACTCGGGAAGGATTGTCGTCGAGAGGCAGATGTTTCTGCTCGCGACCTCCCAAATCCACTTTGAATGAAACTACCCCGTGACACCTCTGAGATCCACACACTGAATTATTGTCTCCCGTAATTAACTTACCGTATTTTCCGCACCATAAGGCGCTATGGAGTATAAGGTGCACCTTGAAAGAGTGGCTTATTTTAAAACTGTGTTCATTATATAAGGCGCACTGCATTATAAGGCGCACAGAGTAGAAGCGCCAACAGTGGCTGCGGTTATGTTATCCATCCACTAGATGGAGCTACGCTAAAGGGAATACAATGCAATCCAGCTTTATTTATATCACACTTTCACAACCGCTGCAGCTGTAACAAAGCGCTTAACAGAACTTTTGAAATACTACGTCCAAGAAATCTGAATATTGATCTATTTTTCAGGCGCATTGGATTATAAGGCGCACTGTCGCCTTTTGAGAAAACCGAATGCTTTTCGGTGCGCCTTATAGTGCGGAAAATCCGGTAACTGTGTCTGTTAGCAAAGTAACTATTAGGTATTAAAAACGACAACCAAATGCTTCCCATGGACTTATTATACTTATTATATAAGATGTTCACCTGAGCGACCCCCACTTTGTAGGTTAGGTGCCAGGGTTATAGCCACCTTGACTAAATGAACCTGTTAGCCAGCACAGAACAGACTGAGTCAGACCCGACAAGGCGGAGAAAATCCGAGGCTCACGCATGCATGTACTTTTGATAATGAGGGAACACCGAGTATCATGGCTCCGAATGTGAGGAACATGAAGATGTATCTTTGTTTAGTTGGGTGAAAATAACTCATTTTTTTCTCACACGCCCTTCACCGCATCAATTTCTCAAGGCGAGGCCTTTTTGATGCAAATGACAAATCACGCCAATTAAGGCATCAATCTTGTAAATCCCCCCCTTAATTATGAGCCGTGCCTGCTAACAAGTGCCTTTTCAACCCAGTCACAACCAAGACAAGCATTTTTTTTTCTCCCCCACAACCTATTATGGCTATTGGACAGAACGGTTGTTTTCGTGCTCTTCGCTTTTATGCGACTTTAAATTTAATCGTGTCACAATAGCCAACTTGGCTGTTCAAATTTTGGAGGTTGCACTTTTTTCATGCCCGTAAGGCAGACAGCTCTCCATCTGTTATCTTTGAGCCACTGGACTAAACAGAAAATTAACTATATTTCCACCAAAGGATTAATGCAATATTTGTAGACCATAACTAAAAATGACATCTGATGCACGGATACAAAGTGATGAAAATTGTGAGACGCTCCAAATATCTATGTAGGAATTAAACCTTAGTTCAGTGACTAACTATTATTATTTTTTTTTTCTGCATGTGACCTACAAACCGAGGGAGTGAGAAAGAGAGACGGCGCCATACGCAGCCAATCGTACACATTACGTAAGCTGACCCAGTGTTGTAATCAGATCAGTATGCTTCAAAAACCCAATCCACAAGCCAGTGCAAAAACAACAGCACTTTCGGAAAGGATAAGAAAAGACATGCACGCTTTCCTCCCCGTGGGAATTTTGCAGATCCTCAGCACTCTCTGGGGAGGTCTTTGACTGACTTCGTACGGTTGAAGATTGGATCCGGAGAGTGTGTGCAGTGTATCTGTGATGTATATTTCATATACGCTATGATCGGTGTTCACTATTATAAAGTCAGAACAGATGGGGGGGGTTGCTTGGAAAGCAGTATCGCACGCCTTGCGTGTGTGTGTGTGTGTGTGTGTGTGTGTGTGTGCGCGCGCTCAGTGACTGCTTGTCACATCCTGTCTATAGCATTTACAGGACTTTTCCGTTATTCATGATAACTAAAGCTACCGTTGAGATCTCCTGTGCAAACACAGTGTGCTTCCAGCTTCCGTTTGACTCAGATCTTCAGTTTCTCTCACACACACACACACACACACACACACACACACACACACACACACACACACACACACACACACACACACACACACGTACAAGCCAACCCGACTTGCCGCCGAGTCAATTCAACTGCTCCACATCTCCTAATTGCTCATCACCACAGTAGTATTTTGGCTTGGATCCGTTTTTTTTTTGTATTTCAAAATAATAATAATAATAACATCTGCTTTGAATAATCGGAAGCTTCTGTGTTTTTGCAAAGGGTGAAGTCCAACGTGGATCCTATTTTGCACTTTAATGACGCCGTCAATCAGGCTTAACTGACTTTCCACGTTCCCCCTGTTCACGTAGGACTACAGATACGCGACAATTCAATGACAGGCGGCAGAAGCAGTCCCACAAAATAAACCGTGGCTCGTTTAATCTTAAAATTACTCGCCGGGACTATTGAGTATCTGTTCATGATGAAGGATTACAGCTCTTCAGTAGACAAAACAAGCGACTCGCTTTCGACTTGGCACATTTCGCTGATAAGAACACGATGAGCTCTGATTGTGTTTCCTCTCACCTTTTTTGCCTCTGTGGAATTCTTTGTCACCTTTCTAAGCATCTGCGTGATTAAAAAAAAAACGTATTCAAATATTTTTAGAGGTACAAGAGACACACTCGTAGTAAGTGGAGCATTAAATGAGGACTTGCTCCTCGTCTGAGACTTAGCCCTGGGCTATTTTAAACCAAAAGAATCATGTCAGGGTTAAATTAACGAGGTAGCCTAGAATGTGAGCACGCGCGCGGTCCGGAAATCGGCAACGGTTGCTTCAAAGACAT